ATCTATTATGATCAATAAACAAATCTCTATGATCACTCAGCGTCTTTGTCGTATGCAGCACAGCTGGAGTATTGGTAAAGCGGGTTCTTTGTTGGCAAAATGCACCAGTTTGTGTCATGCTTGCCATGTACAAGTAGATCACCATCGTCGTCAAGAGTTAAGCGGCAGTCAAAGCTATCAGTGGATGTGTCTGTATGCCAAATTGGCTGTCCTCTCCCATCGTAAACAACAGCATTGTTATCCTCTTGCATCTTGAATATGAACGGACCTTCGACATTCGACACTTTTGGATTGATCGTCGATTTCCATATAGGTAGATCCGGTTTATCTTTTCCGTAAACAACAAGATATCCGTCAGACTGTATTGTCAGGTAAAATTGTTCGTTAGATGATACGAGATATTGACCATTATGAAGTTCTTGCCCTTTGTCGAGAACGGACATGCCTTCTTTCCCTTCGCTGAAGCGTCGAATGGCTGTGTGTGATGTCCAAATGACCTCGTTATCTTCATTACGGACATTAAAGTTTCCATCATTGTCCATATCCAAGCGGAAGATGCCGGTGAAACTGGGGTAGTAAGTACCTGTATGCCAAATTGGCTGTCTTCTCCCATCGTAAACAACAGCATTATTATCCTCTTGCATCTTGAATATGAACGGACCTTCGACATTCGACACTTTTGGGTTGATCGTCGATTTCCATATAGGCAGATCCGGTTTATCTTTTTCGTAAACAACAAGATATCCGTCAGACTGCATTGTCACGTGAAACTGTTTGTTAGGTGATACAAGATATTGACCAGCGTGAAGTTCTGCTCCATTTACTAGACTTGGTTGACCGTGCGAACTCATTTTTATGGTCGTAGAGTAAGAGGACAGACGAGGAATAAGCAAGACGCACACTGTGCAGTCAATAGTACGTATGTATGAAAGAGAAAAAAAACGAACTGACTGTCAATGTGGACACATAAAAAACATAATCATCCATAACTTGCAACCTTTCTACAACGGAAGAGAAACGTGAGGTAAGCAAAGCACAGCAATTGGCTGTGACATACACCGATTTATCGCCTCATTTTTTCATCGCAGCTATTATTCTAATGTTATTGAAAAGATAAAACATGCATATGTAATTACCTTGATTATAACTTGTTTTCGTATATGAATAATTAAAATACCGAGGGAAGGAGAAAAAAACGAAATGATTGTCTAATGAAGAATATTCTAATATTTTCTTTCTGGCTACTATGCTAAGAATAAAAATAACGACCAAAGTATTTTTTTACAGCTGAATAACATCGACATAGAGCAGAATAAATTGAGAAACACAGTAGAAGAGAGTAAATAACCATTGATTTGTTTAATAATAAAATCGATTAAGAAATAAAAAGAGTTTTCAATAAACGTATGGTTGATAATTTGTTCGTGCTGGTACAAATCATGACGAAACAATTGATAAAACAGAATTTAGATAATTTCTTGGACCTGTCATTAAAGATGAAAGTAGATTATCTAGAAATTTAACTTCACAGATGTTCAAGCTTTTGCTGTAATTTATTTCAAAAATTTATTTTAATTAAATTTGTTTTTCTTTTTATAATAAAAGTCATCTTCGTCATCTTATGATGCAGTTCAAACAGTAACGTATGATATTGATCTTGATGTTGGTTGTGCTGGTTTCAAACAAAATCAATAGAATATGGAAAATATATGAGAAATGCAAATTCTAATCAAGGTCATACATATGATGTTGCTTCTGATGTTGGAATTGGTGCACCAAATGTTGCCAGAATAAGTCATTAATATGATCCAACTGGTGGCATGTTTAATCATGCTAATATCAATAGAGATGGAAGAATTAATTAACAAGAATTCGGTTCTTTTATGCGTTCTGTCTAATTTTTATTTTAAATAACTATTTTGTTAGAAGAGTATTGATTAGTTAGGCAAATAAATATGTTCTTATGTAATTGAAGATTTATTTCTTTGAATAAAACACTCAATTTGTCGATATATAGTTCAAGGTAGATCTATTCTGTTGATTGATATGAATAACATATGAACAATATATTTATGTGCTTATCGTGAAACATTAATCGTCCAATATTTATTATTCTCTTTGACTTCCGGTGATAAACAAGATGATGTATATTAAATTGGAATTTGTTTGAAAGATAAAATTAATTTAGATCGAAACAAAGTAACAATCATTATTATTAAATGTTATCTTTGATAATAATATTTGTTAGTTCATCGTCATAAGATTTCCTTTTATTGATTTGATTTGTTCGAACACAAAGAGAAAAATGTCAGTCAACATGAAAGAGACACACAAAATACAAGAGAGGTGAACCATAACGAATATTTTCATTTAAAAATATGGTTACATTTTTCATATATTCATTTATTATCTAGAACGCATTTGTTTCAAATATTGTTTTATAAATAATTAACAAATATATATTTGAAATATGTTTAATAAAATTGTTAAATTCTATAGAAAAATTAATTTTTATAAATAGATTGATTAATCATATCATCACGAATTCTTTTATTTAAAAGTAAAAACTGATATTCGTTTATCAATAATATTCATAAAAATACTTTATGAAAAAATTCATTTCTGGAATAATCAATAAGACAAATGTTTTCATTTATATTTAAGGAGACAACTTCTTTCCCGACCCGAAATTTTCTGTTGTTTTTCAGTGTTTCGTGTTCAAGATATAGATTTAAATGTCCTTTGTCTAAGGAGCAAGTTTTCAATATTGAAAAAATATTTTTCTTACTTATTAAAAAGCTCGCTTTTATTGTAGAAAACGCAACTTTATTCGGGTTTTATTCAAAGACAAAATTTAAAAAGAAAAACGCACAAGTCCAGATTTTGATCTTAGTTATTAAAGAGAAAATTGTAGTCCTTAAAAATTTTCTGTCGATTTTTGTGAGTAAGTGAGATAACTTCATATAATTTTTAGTCGTTGCACCTGGAGAGTTTTTAGTCTAATGATAACTTTCGATCTACTCTAGAAGTTTCACGAAGTTTCTTTGAGCCTTTCTCGGCAAACCTAAATAAAAGAGGAGAATTATCTTAAACCAATTGGAGGTGGGTGTGGGAGTGGATGTGAATATGTGGGCGAGGGTGTAGATGTTCGCTAAGATGAGACGGACTCACACCCACACCTACACACGCCCACGCCCCACATCCACACCTACACACACCCACGCTCCACATCCACACCTACAACCACATTCACACCCACAAACACCCACATCGAAATCGGTGACATTGATTGCGCAGTGGTCTGCTGGGATTGATGGTGACTTAGGCGCAATGCCTCCTAGAATGAAAGACTAAAATGATCAACTTCTCTCTAACTTTTTTTCACTTCTTCTTGTGTAGGGGGAAAGGAATAAATAATTTCTTCTTGAAAAATAAATATTTCTGTTGAGAAAAATCCATTTCTAGTAGAAAATCTCCCTAGAACGAAAAAAAATGATCCAAATCTCTCTAAGTCTTTTTGACTTTTGCCTGTGGAGAGGGGAGTGGATGAAGAATTTCTGCTTGAAAAATAGAATGGCCAGAGGCCATCTTAGTTCTATCTGATGACTCCTCTTCTGTCCGGTTTTGCTCTAGAGATTAAAGTTCGCGGGTTAAAGTATCAACTATTGTTGGATTTTTTTAAAAGGCGGGCCACCATTTTTTGAATAAATTTTGATTTTTTCAAGCTGTTGAGTTCGGTCTTTCACCGTTAGATAGAGCAACCTAGGGGGCGTCTATTTGTATGAGATTCATTAAAAACAAAGAAGGTTTTTATGGTAGATCTCTAATTGCTATATTATTTCGTTACCCATTTTCATTAGTTTTCATCAAGACCTAGGCTTAAATTGCGCCAAAATGTACCTCGGAGGGTCCTGAATTTGCGTCAAAATTTCAAGGTTTTAAAGCATTATTGTATTCGAGACAATGACAGAAAGAACTGAACATTTTATTACGGATACAGGACCCTCCGAGCTACATTTTGGCGTAATTTAAGCTTAGGTCTCGATGAAAACTAACGAAAATGGATAACGAAATAATATAGCAATTAGAGATCTACCATAAAAACCTTCTTTGCTCCTAATGAATCTCATACAAATAGACGCCCCTAGGTTGCTCTATCTAACGGTGAAAGGCCGAACTCGATAGCTTGAAAGGATCAAAAGTTATTCAAAAAATGGTGGCTTGCATTTTAAAAAAATCCGACAATAGTGTTTACCATTCCCGTGGATCATAGTGTAGATTAGGATAGTTCTGCATAAGGCCACTAGCTATCTGAGGTAGCTATCCGATCCGATAGAGCAGCATCAAAGATACATCAGCTGCTTCGATCACTAGTATAGGAAATAAAACATGAGAGTTCCCAATCTTCGAAATAATGACTACTCTTCGAATTTATTTCAGCTCTCATGTGTCTATTTCTTCTTATGCTCTAAACCTAAGAACGATATCAAGAAAGAAATTCCAATTCCAAATTATCCCACGAGTCCTCTAAGCAATGATTCTTAACTTTCCTTTCACTAAGGAGTAAAGTCCTGCATAGATACATGTATATTGCTTATAATTCTTCGGGATTATTTCGAACAAATACGACAGAGTTAAAAGCCAATTGAAAAGTTGATCTTTTTGGGAATCACGAGATCGTTAGAATCTTGGCATTCCGAGACTCACACTCTATAGGTGAATCTACTTCTTATAGGAGATATAGCATTATATATTGATTCTTCTATTGAATCTTTTATACTGATACTTATACCACTTCATAAGATACACAGCAACATCGAAATACCTGGTATTGTGGTAGCATACTCACTCACCCTCAAAGAAAAATTTAACAGCATTTGGTATTATGTTGTTGATAAAATTCATAACTAACTGGATAATTTCCACTCATCTTTTGCATATGTGAATAAGATCCATGTGTATAACAGGATAAATCTTGTTCAATAGGTAATGAACTTGTATTAGACGTTGACGTTGAAGATGCTTGATTGATCATATATTGTTTTGTGTGTACCTGGAAAATATGATTGCGTTGAATACGACCAATATTCATTTGATGGTGAAATAGGAGAAGTATAATCATTATTATTTGTGGAATAGATGTGTTGTCCAGTATAATGAAGATTAGTTTTATTATTACCATTGGATGATGAACTAATAGTTGAATCATATATTCCAGCAGCTGCCATTGTATCAAAAAGATTAAAGGTTGGTATTTTCATTGATGATGATGGATGAGTGTAGAATGATAAATAATCACCTGATTCACTAGCTTCGACTGATTCCATTTTTGGAGTGAAAAAGTCACTGGCATGTTTTGGTAATTCTAAACAATCAGTATCATCTGTTGTTGTATCTTTTTTGAAGTTGATTTCGAGAACGATTTAATTTTGTAGCATTAGGTCTTTGTGAGGGAACGACTCTCTATATTCTACTTTATTCAAAAAATAAAGACAAGCAAAAACAGAAAAACACATCACTTAAATAGATGCAACGCGAGCAGAAAAAGATAAGGCTTGAGTGACATGCTATTTAAACTTGGTGAATTTCGATGATGTCCTTTTTAACGTATTGCTTGTTGATGTCAATGATGATTATTTGACGATTTTTGTTTAAAACGACGACGTCGTCGTGAAAATGAAGCATTTTCAAATATATAATGTGAATCAGGATGCAGCATCCAATAACATCCTTTACCTATTTATGAAAAATAATTAAAAAAGTTCATATTTTATGTCGGTATGGTCTCAAGTATAGAAAATCAGAATTCGAATTGCAACCTTTCCATGCCATGATAACTCTCGAAAACTGCCGATAGAACTAGGATGAATACCTAAACTGTAGTTTACCTATCTTCTTCGTAGCACTTTGAAGATTGAGAATAAACCCACGTCCACTAGACTCATTTTATTCGTCTTTCATATCACTACAAAGCACATACTTTTGTATCTTTCAAAACCTACGTTGTTGCTAGAAAATTTGCTAAAGAGTGAACAAAGTATAGATGCTTTTATTAGGAAATATGATTTTTTCAAAGAGAAAAGCTTAACGAAAAACATTAACATAGTTTGATATATGTTCGATTTTCCGATCTTTATCAAGAGCTTTTGTTTGATTACAGAAATCTCGGCAAAAAGAAGATTTCTTGAACTTTTTTTCTTCAAGATTTGAAGAATTACCATGAAATATCAAAAAAAGCTAACCGATACTCTCTTTCAACGAATAATTTTATATATAATAATTGCAAATACAGCTGATGAAATTTCAGGACGATATTATAGTTTCCAAAGCGGCTAAAAACGATAATAACTACTGTCATTTTATACAGTCACTATGACAATCATATTTTATCATGTTCTACAAAGCTGATAACAGTTGTCAAACGATCTAATAATCAGATATCTGACTGTGCACGATCGTTTGCGATAGGGTGAGATAGAGTCGTAATACTGTGCTCATTAAATAGTGAGAAACCCTCTAAAACGATCGTGTTTAACTGACTTGTATCGATGATGAAACACATAGATAATTGAACTGTCAATCAGTAATGTTCATTAGAAACATATTCATATATATTAATAGAGTTGTCGTAGTAATGTGTCCTCTCTTGCTTGATCAGTTGATCCGAACCTAAATTTTCTATATACATTCCAAGTACAAGAAAACAGCGTTATTACATCACCGTAGTCGCAGGCAACGATGAAGACGATTATGATTATTATTACATGAAACAACGACTCGTAAAATGAGATCATGAACTACGATGAAACTTAATCTTTAAAAATCGAATGTTCATTTCAAAGTATATTCCAATGACCCGCACTAAGATGATCTGATAGGCTATAGATTGTAAAAGAAATCATTCTTAAATACCCGTCAGACACTACAACAGGTTCTTTAAAATTTATAATTTTTTTTGCAAATTTTATTTTTTCGTAGACTTAATCTAAGTTTTTGTTCTTTGGAGTGATATCATCAGCCATAGTTTCCAGCTATTGGATGAAACTTTACTGGAAATTCTTAATCGCTTTGACTTCATAAAAAAATGTCTCTTGAAATGTACATTCAGTTATAAGGGCTTGAAATATCCCATCAATCTATGAATTCTCAAAATATTACATGAGTGAATTTTTGATTTACATTAATTTGGTCAAAAGAAAAAATGTCGAAAGATATTTTAATTCAGCTTCCTGCCCTCACCCTTACCAACATTACTCGGAAACCTACAGGAGGAGTGATATATTACACTTATTTTAATGCAGTAATACGTCCTTTGCAATAATCGAAATGATTATTCATTGTCTAGAAAGTATCGATATAATTACGTAGTTCTGTAATCGAATGTCAATATTCAACAAACCTGGTTGTTTATCATCTCGTTTAACTTTAACAAAAATATCATTTAACGATAAAGTATGTCGAATAGAATTTTTCCATCCTTCTTTATTTTCTCGATAATACTACAAAAAAAAATTAGAAATCGTTATTTCATATCTTCATTAAATACTTACAGGATAATGATCCATAATATATTTATAAATACCATTTAAACTACATTTTAGATCTGGACTCTTTTGTATAGCTAATGTTGTTAATGCTATATAGCTCATAGCTGGTTTAGTCATTTCTTTGGTGGAATTAATCGTTGCCATTGCATAAGAATATGCAGCCGCTGATGAACGTAATAGTCAATAATATGCAGCTAGAAGTGTACGTCAATCGGCTAACCTTTCACCGCCGACGATTTAATAGAAAAAAGTGCAGCCGCCGCCGCCGCTGCCGTCGATCAACCGGGAGGGTTACACTTCAATTCTCAGTAGTGCCATAAAATAAGTATAATTTCTATTCTACCCGTCTTAATTAAAAGTTGATATTGATCGTTATTTGATTCAAAATCGAACAATAAAAATATTAATTTTATATGATATGATTAAAAAAATAAAAACTCAATCACGTTCTCGTAGTATGTGCAACTCAAAATTCCTCGACATCTTCCACTATATCTTCATTTGCATGAAAATATTTTTCTCACATGAAACATAATTTTCGGTGAAGTTTGCCAACAAGTCTATAACAAATTTAGAGCAACTTCGTGGAAATTTAGTTCAAAAATACGCACCAATTCTGGTGACATGTGCTGATTCAGTTGTCGATGAAGATGAAAATTATTTGAAATTCGATATCAGTTGCAATGATGTATTTCAATTTTGGCAATCATCCGCGTTGGATGTAATGAACAGACCTTCATATGTTGCAGCTGGTACGATGAAACTTTATATTTTCAACAGTTTTTCATCGAGGATCATAAACATTTTTACTTTGTGCATTTTTTTGATTGAACTGCTCCATATAAACCTTATAATTATTAGTAAATTGTCGAAAAAAAGAAACTTTAATGAAGCGAGTACCGAGATAGAAAATAAATATAATACTACTGTTTTTGGACCGAGAGCTAGCTTGAAAAAACGAATTTTGTTGATTTTCTACAATTGTTTTCTATGAATGAAATGATAATTTTAGCGGACTTTTAAAAAAAAAGAAAAACTTTATGATATAAATACTAGCAGAATAGAGTCTACACCTGAAAAGTTGGTGTTTTTTTTCCTGAGACCTAAACGAGAGCAGCTAAGATATTCATATCCGAGATATTCATGGGTGATCCTATAAGATCGAATGTTTTAAATCTCTCCTTGCATGAGTACACTCATATACGTTCCTTTGTCAGTCATTATCTCTCATTTTTAATTAATGCTGTATAATTCAATAGAATTCGAAAAAAAATTTTTCGATGCTCCTGAAGTCCTCCTCTACAGGTGCAAAAAGACAGGTAAAAAATGAAAGTCGTTTTTCGACAGGAAAAAACATATCATTTTACTCAGAATTTCACGCTGATTCACAATAAGTAGTTCTTTCTCAAAAATTTTTTGGACAAAAAAGTGGCCTTATCGATACTACTCCTTTTATACCTAATCTTATTGCAAAGAGCGAACTTCAAATCAAAATAGATCTATGAAATCTAGTGTTTATTTTTGTGAGATAATTCAACAAAATTTATTATCATTTAAAATATCTTATAAGAAATTTTTCAAAACTTTCTATGCAAATTCTTTGCTAGCCCGAACATGCAATGACACCATCAAAATTCAGAAATGATTGACTTTTGCAAAATTTGTAATTTCAACTCCTGGAACTACTTTCAAAAACTATAGATTGAGCTAGTTGTGCATCTAATGAACCCAATAATCGTATGATTAATTACTCTTGTTAATCAACATTATTTTCTCTTAACAAAACTTAAGTAAAAATACGTCAGAAGATTGATTTCAACGTCTGTTAGAGCCATAGTTTGACACCATTCCACTAATATAAATTAAAACAACGGTGAAATGTTGAAAATTGTTCGTCTTCGATCAGAAAAATTGCAGAAAAATTATACAAATCCATGCTAAATAAGATGAAGATTTGGAGTAGAAGTAAGGAGCATTCGATAAAGATTCCGGTTTACGTAGATACAGATATAGAAGTCTGTCAGGCACAAATTTTTTTGCCGGCATAACGCGATGACGTATCTGACTAGAATGCAGATGCCAAGAGCGAATCGTTTTACAAACATTTCGGACTGTATAATTTGCTAGTATTAAATCTGCAATAATCTTCACTTCTATATGCCACGTACCAAATTCGAATGGGAACTGATCGATAACAGCATTGGATAGAGGCGGTTGAAAAATAAACGCATCATGACTGCCCACATAGCCTTGATCAGTACAATGCGCATTCAATCTGCTGATCATTGGATCGATTTCGTAACGTGATAAATAGAAAATGGTTGATTTATCGACGAGAGGCATTCGCTGAAGGAATTTGAGAGATTGATCAAAGAAAATATCCAGATTGAGTACAACTGCATAACCACTGAATATGACTTTATTAGCATACCTCAATGCTTTACTCATAGTTAATCTTTCGGTATCATTGTTGCGTGTTTGATAAAAAATCACTAGCTTCAATTTCAGGAGATCAACAGGAAAATTCGGATCGATCTTAATATCATCAAAAATAGTACAATTCTTTGAATACTGAATAAAATGAATGGAAGTAACGGCATCATTCAACACATTCATTTGTAAAACAGCTACAAGTTCACGACGTCGTCGATTGTTTTTCTCATGATACCACTGAGTAATTAAATGGATGGAATTCGGAGAAGATATATACTGGTTAGATTGAGTTTCCAGTTCGATCTGTAAAAGAGTTTCTGGCAGTCGAGTGATTGATAGAAGATCTTCAATGTCGAAACAGGAATAACTTTTGTGTACGTCAATCGGACGTGAATCTGGTAGAAAAGCGGTCAAATCGTCTAGATTTAAGAGTATTATATTAGAATCTTCCTTAGACAAAATTCGCCTTACTATTTTCGGGAAGTTCAGAATTATGATTGCATCCGAATATGTGAAACCGAAGAAGATCCAGGACAATAATAGCAGCGATAACTACAGTGGTGTATCGAAGAAATATATTCCGTTTAACAAGCATCTTATTAGAGATGATCCACAAATTCCACTTAAAGAAAGAGTAGTCACTTAGGAAGTAAGTTGATCGAAATACATTAAGAGAAGAATCATGACAATATCACTCAACGCGCTAAAAATGAGCCCTAGTAGAATCATGATCATAGCTGAAGAGAGCCCAAGTTTAGCTGGACCATCGCACAAAGTTTCAAATCCAAATCGTTTGATGTCGGGCAGAAAGTTTTCAATGTGATATAGTCGACTATTGGTCTTTCGAACTATTTTTAATCTATATTTCAACTATTGATAATCTAATCAGAATCGAAATTAAATGCTGACAGCAGATTCGTGTTGAACGTTGAAAGTTATATCCAATAGGGAGGGCACTTTACATTTACTTTACTAGCAACTACGTAACTACAATAGTTAGTAGTTACTAGTAAATAAGTAATTACAATAGTTAGTGGTTACTAGTAACTACTGTAAACCTCAAGGGGGAAAAAACTCATTCCGAGCCATTCGAATGGCTAGGAATTACAAATGCACCAGTTCAGGCGAACTGGGTACTCAGTCGGACTGGGCTCCCAGCTCTACTGAATATCCAGTGAACTGACCTACAGTTGGTTCGAAAATCAGTATTTTTGTTTTTGACGAAAGGTTTTCGGGATTGAGGAATCCGAATTTGCAATCAGTTTCTAGAAATTGTGCACTTGATTTTTTCATCAAAGAAAGGATATTTTAAGGAAATAACGAATTTTTATAAAGTTTGACCAAAGGGTAATCGGGGTCGAGGAATTCAAATCTGTAACCAGTTCGTCGAAATTTTGAGTTTCATGTCTTTTACTAAAAACGTTTTTTTAGCAAAAAGTCGCTTTCTTCTAAAAAAAATGTTTTTAGTAACAAAAAGCGATTCTTTTTTCTTTGAAGAAGGTTTTTCACTAAAAAGTTGTTTTGCGAAAAAAAAGTGTTTTTTTCTGCATAAAAAATTGTTTAGGTTAAAGAAAAGTTTTTTAGTACAAAAGTCAAACTCAAAATTTTAAGAAAGTAATTCCAGATTCGAATTCTCCGACTCCGGTTACCTTTGGTCAAGCTTTATAAAAAATCGCTATTTGCTTAAAAAATCCTTTCTTTGATGAAAAAATCAAGTACCCAGTTTCTAGAAACTGATTGCAGATTCGGATTCTCCGACCCCGATTATCTTTGGCCAAAATTTATAAAAAATCGTTATTTCCGTAAAATACCCTTTCTTTGATGGAAAAATCAAGTGCACAGTTTCTAGAAACTGATTGCAAATTCGGATTCCTCGACCCTGAAAATCTTTGGTCAGAAAGAAGAAAAAAAGATTATCGAATCAACTCTAGGTCAGCTCATTGGATATCCAATAGAGCTGGGTACTTCGGTTGACTGATACCGAGTCAACGAGTCGGGACTGGTACTGGTGCATACCTAGTCGGAATGGCTAGGAATGTCCGAATGAGTTTTTTTCTCCTTGGGAGAAATCCTTTATACGCAGTTACTGTACTTACTGAACTCTACAAAATGACAAAAATACCCAGCTGTGTCCAAATTCCCATCAGTCGGGAACTCATTGAGAATTGGGAACTCAAAGTGTGTGTGGGGGGGGGGGGGGTAGGAGGCATTGCACGAAGCCACGCCTACCCTTGCTCAATCGATGTCACCGATTTGACTGGTATTTTTATAGTAAGTAGGTCTAACAAGGTTAGGAAGAAACTGAAAATTTCAGCTCATTTGAACATGTCTGTGAAAAATAAGCTTTCACAATTTTTCACAGACATGTTCAAATGAGCTGAAATTTTGAATTTAGAGGTTTTTCGACATGCGCTTTCATCTGAAATACTTAGATTGAATATTTGACAATAAATCGTTAATCTTCACAGTGAGAATCGGACCCAAATTTGGCCTTTCTAGTCTTGTTCAAGAAATTTTTGCTACCAAAGTTCATTTGCACAAAATTCTGAAAACGTCATTCTACGCATTGTGATCTGCTCTTTCAAATGAGACTAGTCTCGATTAATCCTACGACGCTGATTTGACCAATTGATCCTATACACTGGGATCCTGTTGTTTGAAAATGACATATAGTATAAAGCAAATATTATCTTATGATAAGATACTTTTGATACCATCAAAAGATAGTCTATGGTCAATAGTATATATGGTAAAAAAATCTCGATTATACCTTTTGTCGTTCTTTAGAAAATGAAAATTTACTGAAACATTTTGCGCTGAAAAGTACTTCAAAAGTAGCCTACCCCCTCATACTTGCAACGTCTCTATCTGCAGATTGGCTATTTCGTTTGAGCTGAAATTTCCAGTTTCTTCCTAACCGTGTTAGACCTACTTACTATAAAAATACCAGTTAAATCAGTGACATCGATTGAGCAAGGGTAGGCGTGGCTTACGTGCAATGCCTCCTACCCACGCAAACACCCTTTGAGTTCCCAATTCCCAATGAGTTCCCGACTCCTGAGAATTTGGAGACAGCTGGGTATTTTTGTCAATTTGTAGAGCTCAGTAAGTACAGCAACTGCATATAAATGATTTCTCCCAAGGGAGAAAAAACTCATTCGGACATTCATAGCCATTCCCAGGCATTCCTAGCCATTCGTTGGCGTTCTAAACCAGTCCGACTAGGTATGTACCAGTACCAGTCCCGAGTCGTTGACTCGGTATCAGCCCACCTAAGTACCCAGCTCTATTGGATATCCAATGAGCTGACCTAAAGTTGATTCGATAATTATTATTTTTGTTTCTGACCAAAGATTTTCAGGGTCTAGGAATCCGAATTTGCAATCAGTTTCTGGAAACTGTGTACTTGATTTTTTCATCAAAGAAAGGATTTTTTTAAGGAAATAGCGATTTTTTATAAAGTTTGACCAAAGGTAACCGGAGTCGGAGAATTCGAATCTGTAATTAGTTTCTTAACATTTTCAGTTTGACTTTTGTACTAAAAAACTTTTCTGTAACAAAAAAAATTTTTTATGCAGAAAAAACCACTTTTTTCGCTAAAAAACGTTTTTAGTAAAAGACATGAAACTCAAAATTTCGAACAACTGGTTACAGATTTGAATTCCTCGACCCCGATTACCATTTGGTCAAGCTTTATAAAAATTCGCTATTTCCTTAAAAAATCCTTTCTTTGATGAAAAAATCAAGCGCACAATTTCTAGAAACTGATTGCAGATTCGGATTCTCCGACCCCGATTACCGTTTGGTCAAACTTTATAAAAAATCATTATTTCCTTAAAAAATCCTTTCTTTCATGAAAAAATCAAGTGCACAATTTCCAGAAACTGATTGAAAATTCGGATTCCTCAACCCGGAAAATCTTTCGTCAAAAAAAGTACTGATTTTCGAATCAACTCTAGGTCAGTTCAGTGGATATTCAGTAGAGCTGGGAGCCCAGTCCAACTGGGTACCCAGTTCGCCTGAACTGGTGCATTTGTAATTCCTAGCCATTCCGAGCCATTCGAATGGCTCGGAATGTGTTTTTTCCTCCATTGAGGTTTACTGTAGTTACTATTTACAAGTAACCAGTAACTACTGTAATTATGTAATTACTTGTAAATACTAACTTGTGTAGTTACTAGTAACTACTAACTATTGTAGTTACGTAGTTACTGGTAAAGTAAATGTAAAGTGCCATCCCTATATAATACTGACGAGCACTCCCACGCCCAAACGCACACCCACACTGACACTCATCCCGCCCCACGCCCACCCACACCCACACCCAAAATTTCTTGAACTATTGAGCCTCCCAAGCCTAATAGCTCTGCCGCCTATGCTTTAAAGTACTTACTGAAGGTTATTGTATGTTAGTTCTTCAAATCTTAACTGCCTTCGAACTGCTACATGCAACAGATATAATGTCATAATTCACCTGATGAAGTCCTGGCAAAATGAAAACATCCGTTTGTCGGAAAGCGACCTATTTCTACTCACCCTCACCTTCAAGATCTTTGAGCAAGATCGAAACGCGGCATGTTAGCTTTGAAGAATTATTTATTCAAAAAGTTTCTTTGCTGACAGAATTTTGTTTGAATATTTTCATTTTATGTTAAAATTCATCCTCAAGATGGTAACAAAATTGAAATAACTGTGAATTTATCTAAGTATCCTTCAAACAACGTACATATATGGGATGTGATTGCTCTCTGTATGAATACACACGACTGAGGAATCAGATGCATTAAAGTGTGTGCTTCTTACGAATTTATTGTCACTAGCTTGTCGACGCATTTGTACGGTTTTTTCATTACTTGTCTGACTCGGAGAACGATAAGAAATACGACAGACTCCACAGAAAAAAAACAAAAAAATCGTTGTGTGATAGTTAGACGATTATAATGCAAAGAAAACATCGTCTTATTTTGCTGCTGTCCAAGCTGCCGCTTATTTTTGTTTCTGTGCACTACCAAACAAATGGCAGAAATTAACGTAAGCAAACTCTACTTTGCCTGTCGTAATGGGGATACCAAGACTTTTGAACAGCTTCTCTCTATGTTGTCATTGGATTCGATCGATCGTGCCGAGTGAAATGGCAGTACAGCGTTCCATGCTGCTTTGTACTACGTTGATGCTAGGATCATAAAACTACTGCTTCTTAAAGGCGCCTCTCGCTCTTCGTTGAGTAAATATGAGAAGACGGCAGGACATGAAGCAGCTGCTCCACAAATAGAAAAAGCTCTTCCATTACCCAATGAATAAAGCAAGCGCCCTCTATGTTACCGAAACGTCTAATGTTGAATGGCCTTTAGCTGATAAAGAAATTTCTATTATGGCATGGCATGCAACAGTAGTATGGTTTGTAGGTATGGCTATGGGTGTGGATAATATATTCGTCTCTCTTCCACACCTACCCCTTCTCAACTCTTTATCCGTGTATATCTCTCACTTTGGAATATTCCTTATTCGCCTATCTATTAGAACTGAGTATTGTTATATGTTTTTTTTCAGAAATAGCTGTGTTTTCTTCACTAAGCTTTTCTTAAGGCAATTTACCACTTATATTAATGAAACTTTATCACTCTTTCTTCTTTTAGATAATTAACATACGCGGTGAGATTTGGTTTAAGTATGAGCACTCAAGCAAATACAATTGGTTCAATTGCTAAGTTCTTTTATTATGCAGATAAATTACGACAAAATTTAATTCCAAAACAAACAACAAAATACAGAAATGAGGACGATGATGGTGCAGATACGATGCGTAAGTCTCACTAAATAGCGTCCAACCTCATATATTTTTTATATTTTCATGTACAGGCACTAAGGTAAACACTATTTTTGTTCATTTAACAAACTTAATCATGCGACTAACCATTATTCCCTTCCGATGATTCTATGCAATCTCAGTAAATAGCTAATTTTTCTAAAAATTCTTCCTTCGATACCATCAATTGGTTACCGGTGACTAACAGTTTGTTACTCAGCTGACAGGCTTATGTACGTATATAGATTGATATGAAACTGTCTCGCACATCTACCATGAGTGCTTATCAAATCCATCCACGTATAACTAATCCACCAACGAGCATACGAAGTAAGGGTAGATGAGAACCTCCTCTTCGCCCCGCCCCGTACCTCTCACCTTCACTCTCTAGGCAAGATTCAAACATTTTAGTTAAAAACGTTTGCTCCGACCACGTTCGGTAATCCTGTTCAGACCTTCTCTAGAGAGTAGGTTTTCAAAAAACTGAGGTGTCAGAGGTATAAAAGTTTTTCAAATTTCGTTGAAACTTATATTCTCAGATACAAAATGTCATTTAGATTGCCCAAGAAACGTTTCTGCACAGTGCGTCTCCTATTTCCAGTACTCTACTGTGTCACAAAGTTCAAAACTCACTCAAGCTAAAAAGTGAAAGATTAACGAGATGTTCTAATATACATATTTTTCCGAGAAAACAAGATCATCATTTGATTTGGCATTGAATTCAGCGTCAAAATCTAGTGACAATTTATCCTCTTTATCATGGAGTGCTGCATCAGATATAAGCAAAATGCACTAAATCAGCATTTCTTTCATATCCAGAACGCTTTTTGACATTTTTTTAATAACTTTATGGCTCATACACAGCTACAATTTTCAATATAACCCAAACCTTTGCACTTTTTCTCCTGGCGAGACCCGAAAATGCACTTTTATAGGCCTTAGCGTCAACATGATAGTTGCTGGAAAATCTGGGTCGAATCCCAACCAGAACGAGATATCTGTGAAGTGTGCAAACGATTTTCATTTTTCAGCCATCGAAGAATCTGCTTCTGCATCAGAAGTCTTGGCAACCTTTTGTGGTTTTAATCTTTGTGGTAGCTTATTCTGCTCGAGATTGACGCAAACTCTGCGATTATTATTTTGGTGCCAAGACCTAGAAAACTGCGAAAATATCAGCACACAAGAACTGCTTGTGCGTTGAAAACTGCATTTTCTAGTCACCGCTTGAAGAAAGTGTACCAAGATACCTCTTATAAGGAACATGTGTGGCTGTATGTGAGTCACAAAAATTAAAAAAAGTTATCGAAAAGTCTCTTAATGGCGGCGTAGGCAGCCGTGGTCGAATAGGCAACCGCTCAAAGGTCGAAAAGTTTTGATCCACGAATTTTTCTAGATGTGACAGTTGTTTACTGATCAAAAATATATAGGTGAAGTAGCAATAATAAAGCGATCTTTCTCGTCCACTACTTAAACATGAGCTATATCGCTCTGTGTCAAACCTCAGCTAATATAGGCATAGAAAGTCATAAAGATTCCAGCTCACTTAACTTTTAATTGCCCTAAGGTATCTATTTCTCCAAACAGTTTGACTGGGTAAAATTGCCCCTACTCAAAAATTTCTGGTTACATCATTGCCTCTTCGAGACTGGCAGGACTAAGTTTTTTTCATCCCGTCCCGCCCAAGTTATTAAGTTATGATTCCGTTGTGGCCCGAGTACGCGACCAAGTTATATTTTTAACCTAATACTACTATCCTACACTTTAGAAAGCACGGTTGTCAATGGTATTGAAGTCCTCAGCAGAAAAGTGAATCAAAGCCCGCCTTAGTCAGGCCCACAGATCACGATCGGCATGTTCCGAAAATTCTTAGATAGCATAGACTGGGATACATAATTCGACGTGAGACTATTGGATATGTAATAAGTTTTGTGAAACACAATTAGAAATGAGTGTTGAAGTATATTGCGAGACAATTGCACCCGGTTTCTGCTTCCCAATAGACTGTGACAGACATGGCAGCACACTATTATTCCCTAAACTGAATAGTCTTGGGCTTATAAGCCGAAATTAAAACCAAATACGTGGTGTCTGTATCGAGGACATCTTGGCTGGGATTGATGACGTCTGTGTTTGGATCAGCAAAGTAATGAAAGGTCACAAGCAAGCCCCGTTAGTGGAATAACAACTTTTGGATGAGTAGAATGCATAAGATACAAGACGAATTCTTGACTGTACAAACCTATTGAAAATTTGGCAGCCTATCGGAGACTTATAAATATCTTCCGAAAACAAACCCAACATTTCAAAGGATCGAAACATTGAAACAAAGTGAATCACTTCGCTTCGCTTGAACATGCATGATAAAGCTTTTCAGTTTACTTTAATAGCTTTTAAGCATAAAATTTTAAAAGTCTGATAACTGTCGAATAATAGGCTAGTTTAGATCGTATGAAATCTCAAATTCTACAAGATACATGAAACTATTCATCATGGTGTTCTCTACAGATGCTATAGTTTTCACAAAATGAAAGCAGCTGTATTTTTAGGAAAACCAATGCAACTAACAGAAGAAGGAAGTATATATGGTCCACTTTCAAAAAAACTTCTTATGATCATATTCTAGACGTTTTCAGTCAAGGATAAAATAAATCCATATCCGATGAACGTTACTTGTGGCTTTTCATGTGATTGAGTTCCGAGATTTTAAATCTCGAACTTTTAACCGATCAAAAATCTCAAAATTTCAAAAATGCATCTTTTCTCAGTAATGCGGTATATTACCAACTATTACAGATCATTGCAGACAGTTAGAGATCATTCTTTGCTGGCCTTTTCACAAATCCAGATGAATATAACAAGCCTCTTCATGTTCGTATGAAAAAAATCCTTCGGATTTTCACGTACTACTTCGATAGGAATTGTACTGGGTGAATGTGGGTAAGGGTATTAAATGATTATAAAAAAGGGCTGTTAGCGTATTCCCTTCGGGATTAAAATATGAAACATGATAGAGCTACTTCAACCATTATTGAGAAACTCCAATTTCTCTATCGTAGTCATCCAGAACCTATGATTACAATGTCAGATAACCTTTGAGACCATTACAGGCCATGATAGATAGAGGTGTCTGTCACGATTCATGACGGGGTCCAAAAGTGTATCTGTCTGCCTGCCACGGTCTGCGGAGAGGGGAGAGGTCACTTTTCTCGCTCTAAACTTCAACATTCTTTTGATTGTGCTCCACAAAATCCATACCCACACTCAGCTTGTAGTCAAGTCAAATTTTGCTCGCCCTCGGACTTGAGTATCAAACATTTTGAAGAATGAACTCTGTACATGTATCGATCATGTTTCAAAGAAGGAAAAACCATCGAGTTTAACTTGAAATTATTTTCAACATTTGTATTTTCTCTTTAGATGATCAACAATTTGCTGCACCCGGTGCTTTCAAAGAGCTTGATTGTAAGGGCCGTCCTTGTGCTAGTTGCGGCAATTGCCGAGATTGGTACTTTACTGGTGATTCGGCAACTTGGGAATGAATCCATAATTACAACAATTGGGAATACGAAGACTTTTCTCGTTTCCGCAATGATCATGTTTGGGAACACTTCAAGTCTCGTGATGGTGCAACATGTAATGGTAATAATGGTGCTAATTTTTTTATAATGGTTTTTATTGTAATTATGATGCTTATGAGCGTGGTTTTGTTGATCATGTTTCTCGTGCTTATGTTTGTTTGTGGGAGAATAATATCGCAAGTTGGATTGCTGGTACAAATGAATAAATGAGATAACTTGTATTATGATTGTTCCTATTCTAATAGCCGGTATGGCTGAATGGTTAAGATGCTTGATGCATACCCAAAAGGTATTGTGCCCGAATGTCGGCTCCATCAGTCATAAAATGGCCTTGGACAAGTCACTGACGACTGCTGTGTCTCGAATCACCCATTCGATAACAAACAGATTACGTGCTTGACATACATTAAAGCCCTTGTGGCTAGTATGTGGTTAATCAGTATGTATAGGGAGCTTAAGTGATTAAGCGGGAGAACTCTGAATCAGGTCGGCCTTCTGTCCAGAGCTACATTTAGTAATAAACGTAGGAGCGTGTGGGTGTGTGGGTGCGGGTGCGGATATTGTCTTCACAAACACCCTCACATCCCGCACACCAAAATCCACACCCACACCTACACCCCACGCCCACGCCCACACCCACCCACACCCCTTTTAATCGATTAGATTTTTAATCTATTATTTAGATTTTTCAGAAAAAAGTCGATTTTAATCGATTTCAAAAATAATCGATTATAATCGATTCTCGACTCGAATTTAATCAGAATTTGCCACTTTTAATCGATTTTTCTCTCGAAAATCGATTTTAATCCGATGTCCGGGCTTCTTTCTTTACGTGGGAAATGAAAACCTCATGAACAAAACAAGTAACAATCATCGGATGCCGATTTGCTTGATCCTAGAATGAGATAGAAGTGAACAAACTAAAAAGAGAATCATCTCCAACTATCTGTAAGAAACCATGAGAATGTTGACGTTAGTGAAGATACGAATGGGAATATGTCGACGTAAAAGGAACTGCAAAAAATGAGATTAGAATCTATTGTTTTAGAATAAAAATAGATGAAAATGGCACTATCTTAATCCGATTTTTTAGCCGTGGTTGTTACATGAGAAACGAAGATTGACACTGACTAATATCCTCTTTATCGTAAGAAGATCGAATGTAATTCTGACACTCGTCAGTATCTTCAGATATCTTCAAACTACTGATCGATACTTGAAGTCGCTATGGAACTCCAATGTGTTTCTCTTTTGTTAATCAATATGCCGAGTCGTTCAAAAGAGAATGTTTTGAGATTGTCTTTCAGCACGGGTAAGATAAGCATTGGCTTCATCAATGGAATCTACTTCGCTCACTCTACTCACACATATGCACTGCCTCAGCAAGTATAATGCGGCCAGATGTGTCTTTCTCCCATCGCAAGTATTGTTATGTTGTGTATGTTGTTTCGTTTTGGGGTGTGGGTGTGGGTGTGGGTGTGAGTGTCAGTGAAGTGACATTCTAACCCCACACCCACATCAGAGAAAATATCTTGAGAAAATCTATCCACGTTCTCTATAAAAACTATTCTACGGTTTCATACCATGTAAAACCACGTCAAGGTACCGCTACTCTGTAAAAACAGCACATTTTCCAAAATCTTTAACCATTCCGGATACTTCTTCTGAATGAGCAATGGTTCTATCTGCTGCTGCATCAGAAGTATGAGCAAATGTGCTGATATTCGTCCATTCTTTCCAATACAGAAAGGGGTTCCGTATCTTTGGTAAATGGATTCAGGAAAATAAACCTTTGTGTAAGAGTTCTTTCTTTCCACTAAATGGTTCCATATTGTACGATAGGATTCCGAAAGAGACTGCGAGATTGCAAAAAATAATAACGGAATAATAAACCCCCAAAATCGTTTAAAGGCATTGCCGTAAATCTTTTCGTGGTTTATTCTGATGTTAAACCTTGTAGCAAGCGCTTTTTTCTAGCGAATCCCTGAAAAAGTTTGTAATTAGTTGCCAATTTCTAAACTTTACCGAATTTTGTCCAACTCTACCTCCCCCCCCCCTCTTACAGAGAGATGGTGAATGTGGGTCAATCAAAATGACTCTCACACTCCACAATCACAGTCACATCATGTCATATGGAAATATATTTTATCAACACTGGAAGAAAAACTTTGCAGCATTTACCTGAAAAGCATCGCACAAAATACAGTTACAACTGTAGCTATATAATATAAAAATTAATATCTTGCACAGGCATTTTATAGCACATTCGACGATTGTTATCGAAATTGTGTGACGCACATTTAGTCTCCTATAACAAAGAGCATACTAGATGATATTTTTGGAATATAGTGAACAAGATATAAGTCTTGATGAATAATTTGGGAAAGCGAATATGGCATTTCTTTCGCCAAATCGATCTGTTCGACAGTGGTTCAGACCGGGAAGATGTCATAAAGCATGAGATATTGTCTACAAGTATTTATATTGTTTCAATATTTATTTGACTTATTATTGTTGGTATTTTTGCCTTTTTCATTGTTCGCTCTGCACATGAACATATACATTTACCATCTCAAAAATAATTTGAAAATTTATTTGAACATTATTCACCAACACTCACATATCCGTGTTCTAAACTTGCCATTCCACATGAGGCATTTACAATCGTGAAAATACAATATCATCAAGTTTGTTTAAGTCTATTTGTATCGCAAGCATGGATCGAATATTTTCTTCCTCGAATTCAGAAAATGATGTTCGTCCGACTCTGAGTGCTTTCTGGCAAACAATTGCTGGATTCTGCAAGTTGAGCAGTACATCAGTAAATAATGCCATTGCTCAATTCAATATTACAAGTTTCCTGACTCCCATGTCATTAAATCAAGAAACGATTCGAATTCAAAGTCGAGTTGCTGTTATCACGACTATTTCTGCTGCTCGATCGACTCTCATTCGTAATTTACTGGCAATTGAACTTATAACAGCCGGTAATCAATTTGTCTCTGGATTAGCAACAAACTTTTACTCACATTTCACATCAAAAGGATTTGGATCGAACCCAATACTATCTCCTAGAACGTTTGATAATTGCTCTTGCTTAAATATTAATGGATGTCCTCGACCGTCGACTTTTAATTTTTTCCCAAATCAAAGTTCGATACCAATACCTGGAATGCAGTCGGATTGCTTAATGGTCAACGTAGTATTAAGTTCTTCTTTAGAATGTTACTATGATCGGACTTGTACTACTCGATTACATCTATCGATAGCTATAATTGAGCTGCTCAAGACCCATGTCAATAGATATTTTATGCCAAATTCGACCATTCAAGAGATGCTGGACAATTTGATAGCTGACGACATTTTTGTTGATACAGCCTTTGACAAATTCTTTGCTCAACGCAATTCAAACTATTGTTCATATATTCGTTCTCACCGATTTGATATTGTTTTTACCGTCAACATCATCATCGGATTTTATAGTGGACTATTCATCGTATTAAGTTTCATTACCCCTATCATTGCAAAACGTATAATTAATTGGCAACAAAGAAATACTCAAGTTCAAAATTTGAATTCTTTGCCGGTGCCAAATCAAAGTAAGTTGAAGTTTACACAAATAACGGTTTCCATCTCAGTCTCATTCGTTTTTGAAAACTTCTAAAGAATGTCTAAAGTAAGCTGGATTTTAAATTGCGATTCGTTCTAGTGATGAACGAAAATGAAACAGAATTCCATCGAATTACATTAATAAGTATTTTTTTTATCTTTATCACACTGAATTTTTCAAATAGCAAGATCTTATGAGCAAAGATAAGAAAAA